GAGATTCACAAAGTGCTGCGCCTGCCACGAAATCTGCACATCGAGATGCACAAAGTGCTGCGCCTGCCACGAAATCTGCACATCGGAGATCCAAAATGAGCAAATTGCACGAGGCTTTCGCAAATTTTCAAATGCGTTTCAGAAATGCTGTGCCTGCCACGAAATCATGCCTGCAGGTCATACGAAATGCTGCACTGGCCACGCAAAAGCATCCTCAAGTTCAAATTCCAAAAATGCGACCCCTCTCACGAATTCACCCGCTTCACCTCAAAATATCGCATCCATGGTGCGGATGCCCTGCACCTGCCACGTGAAACGCAATCCTGCGAATGACACACGCCTGCCAACGTTTTTGCAACGTCCACAAAACACTGCGCCTGCCACGAAATTTGCAAAGTCTCCGATTCCTTGCACCTGCCACGTAAAATGACCTTTTCGAGGCTCCAATGTGTCGAATTCCTTGCGCCTGCCACGCAAAATGCACTTCATGTCCGAAAACGAGCACGGCACCTGCACGAGAGCTTTGTCCCGGAAGCGCGAAAGGCGCGGCCACCACTTTATGCGAGCCTGCGCAGTCGAAATGGACATGAGGAATTCAAAAAGTCACTTTTGTGCGAGCCGGCCCACGCAAACTGCCGCGCCCACACGCGCGAACCCTGATCTAAACCCGCTTAACTCTTACCGTAAGAACCCCTTAGTGCGGAGCACTATTTGGGGAAAAAAAGCACAAAGGCCTCAGTCAAGTTCCAACCTGGATAAAAACGGCCGCGCTCCACGTATTGACCCTTTGGGTAGTGCGTGGTCGCATTATGCGCCCATGTAGAGACGTGGGAACCTGGAATCAAGCGCTGGCCCCTCACAGCAAAAATAAGGCCTGCAAACCTTTTTAAAAAGAGCCGGTCCGTTGGGCAACACACTCAAGAGACCACTTCAGCCTGCAGAACAAAAAGGTCAACTCGATATACCCACGGGAATAGTTAACATCTTGTATCCACTTGAGAGACTGCCAAAAGCCAATGAACGTTTTCACATCAGCAGTACAGAAAGTCTTTCTCAAGTCAGTTTCAACTTGCGGATCTGCAGCTGGAAGCCAAGAAAAATCGAAGCATCAAGACTCCAGCACCAAGAACGAAAGCGTGCTTTCACGTCAAAAGCCTGAGTTGTTTCACGATGTCTGCCCGAAGACCTCATGGGCCAACTGGGCGAAAACTTTGGGATGGACAGGTGCCAATTCTTTGGCCAACGCTCCATGCTGACAGTCAAAACCTCGTTGTTGAGCAACAGCAGGAATAAGATCTGCCAAACCGATGTCATCACACTGGTGGGCCGGTATCCAAGACACTTGGATTGGACGCAGCGAAAATCTGCTGCGGTCATTCCAGATATTCAGATATTGGAACGCGAACATCCCCAATGCCCACAGAAAGGCCCGCGAACAGGGTCATGTGAAAAACACCTAATGCCTGATTCAAGTTGAACACCAACGAACGCCTCTGCTGAATAGAAATTGGAAACATGGCCTTCGAGATTTTGAGAAACATCATCTGGGTGGGTGTGAATGTAGCGGCAAAATTGCGAATGGCCTTAAAAGCAAGAGCAACACACGGATCCACAAGGCATGGTTGCGCCAACAAACACAGGACCAGCATTTTAGATCTCCAATGAGGGCGATTCTCCCAAAGGGCTGTGACAATGTCAGTTTGGAGGTCACTGATAACCTTTTTGGGAACCTCAGAGATGCCAGCAGCAAAAGAACACGGGGATAACTTTTGCGGCAATCAACTTGGCTTTGGTTTTCCTTTTGGCAGGAACGGCTCCGATGTTTTTGATAACAGCGCTGATTTTGTAAACTTTGTCTTGGGTGCAGGCACGTGCGTTTCTCTGCGATGTGTAAATGATGGCACCTAATGCATCAAACTCAAGCGCCAAAGGAAAGTCAGGAAATTTTTTCTTTTGCCTTCTGATGGCTGGTGGTCGAGGTAGCCCACAAAGCACTCTTACTCGGATTGAGTTTTTGCCCCACCAAGTCGGTCCACAGAAGGGTAACCTGAAAAGCGAACTGCGGTTGGATGTGCTGAACACGCACCCAAAGATACGCACATCGTCAATGAAGACCCTACATGAGACATGTGGAATTAAAGGCACATTAATCGCAAGGAGCGGTACACTGCAACCTTGGGCAACACCGTTTGCAGCGGTTGAGGCCGTCTTGGAAACCCATCCTCTATACGAGAGGTGCCTCTTAAGGCCAGAGTAGGTTTTGAGAAAAACATTCACTAAACCTTAAGCGAGAAGAAGGCACCTGCCACAGCAGGGATATAATACGGTGAGAGCACTTCGACTGGTCAAGCTTTATGCCAACTAAGTCGACATGGTCAGCACTTGCTTGATCGAGCTCCAAGCGCAAACCAACTGAGATACATTCCATGTTTCTACCTTGATGCCACCACAAAGCTGTGCTGGCAGGGTGGTCCTTTGCCATTCTGGGAGTTGGCGAAATCTTGTACCTGCGTATGCCAGCAGGAGGGGTGAGAGGATGGTGATTAACCTCTTATTCAACGGGGTGGACGGACCGGGTTTGTTCAGGATAACCTGTTTTGCGCGTGTGAGAGAGAACTTCTGGGATGGACGAGTGGCAATCAGACTCGAGCCGGTTGAAGAACTGTGCAACTGCTTCGCAGCAGGTCTGGGAAGCTTCTGCAGGTCAGTGGTGCGCCAACCATCGAGGCCGGGTGCAGCCAATGGGTTCCTATCTTGGACTGTTTGCATTCTATCCTTATCCTTTAAAGGGGAGAGCTCAATAGGCTTGATTTCCCGGTCAATGTACGGCCACACAGCAGCGAGGATCTTCACGCAAAACATTGGAACTGAAAGCACCGTCCCAGTCATCGTTGATGGCAGCAATAGCTTCGTCCGGCTGGAAGATGATGTTGCCATGTTTATCGAAGACTAAATTAGTCTGTTCATCAAGGGTTTTCTTCTTCAGGTGGTGGAATATATATATATATATATTTCATCGAACCCTGTTCGGCTTCTGCAATACGGCATTTCCAAATTTTGTTGCGCGAAGCTTTTTCAGCTTTTTCCCAAGTCTGAGCCTCAAATTGAATCCACTTAATATTGGCATCAAGTTCCACAAGTGACGGAGAAGTGTGAGCGTTCCAAATGAATGGAGACTCCAGGGCAGTCAAACCAGCATGGCATTTATAAATCGTTCTCTGAGTGATCTTCCAATCTTTGGGATTCTTAAGTCCTGGGTTGACACGAGTGCTCGCCTCAGGCAATCTGCTCAATGTATTGTACAGCATGGAACCCGTGGAGGTTGCAGCAGACCCTGTAGGTAGTTGCCCAGGGCAAATGGCTTTGGAAAAGAATTCAGGCAAACATCATCTTTTCCGTTTGCCATTCCCCCAAAGAGGCCCCTGCATGGAGTGTGAAGACAAAAGTTGTTAACTTTGGGCCAGTGCTCCTCAAAAGAACAGTCAGACCTCTGGAAAACGGAGTGCTTAGTCTGAAGGACTTTAGCTAAATCATCTACCCACTTGGCAACCTTAGAATTACCAGTAGGTAGTCTGGAGGTGTCCAAATCCGCAAATTTGACAAGTCTCGTCCCCAGCGCCCCCCCGGGTCGGATGCGTCATGGCGCACAAAGTTCACCACCGATGTGTCCTTCCCACCGATGGCGTCGATGATTTCGGAGAACACGCCAGACCTTTGGTTGTACGCAAGCTCCGCTGCGGAGCGAGGCTTGCTTTCAGCAGTGAGGAAGCCAGCGTTGGAGCTGGCCAACAATGTGCTGGAGGAGACCATTTGGACCGCGGCGAACATGCCGGTCGTCTGGTCCTGCGTTGACGCTGCAGGCTGCATGCCCGCGCGAATGGGTGCGAAGCGGTCGCTGCGCGCTACGCTTCGCCAGAATGCCAGCGCAAGGCGTTGGGCAACGGTTTGCTAGTGAAGCCTTGCTTGAGCCAAAATGGCTAGTGAACCTTCCACCTGTTCTTGTTGAGTGGGAAACAAAACATGGACATAGAGGCCGTGCACGAGTCATAGCGTAGTCACAGTCAGGTGCTTCCGCACCTGAAAAGAGTGGTGTCCAAATGGTCCAAATGTTCAGCTTCACGGTGATCCCAAAGCATCCAGGCAACCCACGAGGTCGTCCCAGCGGTTCCAGCTTCGACGAGACAGCCGTAGACCGAACCAAACGCTGACTGGTTCAGTGTATAGTCGTGGCTGCATGGGATCTACTGAACCAAGACTTGAATTATAAGGACTGAACAGTAGTATAAGGACTATAAGGACTTGGACTATAACGACAGGATCTCCTGCAGAGTTTCACCAGGACGGAACCAAACTGCTGCTTGTCCCCGGGCCTTCTGCAGGAGATCCACTGCCAGCTGCGCTGCTTGCTGCTCCTGCGCCTGGTCGAGGGGCGTTGTCCGTGGCCAGTGCTCCAACCAGCCTGGCCAAGGCGGCCAACAGACCGGAAACGACTTAAACGTGTGTCTACGTGTGTCTGTGGTTCTCTCAACTGGGAGACCGACCGGTTCACTAGAGAACATGAACACTTTGGATTTGCCTAAGGAACTGGAAAATTAAAAAAAAAACTTCTAAGCAAAAGAATGGACGACGGTTTGTACGGAGGTCAAGCTACCGTTTCGATGCCTTCCAAAGTTCCGGGCGCTTTTTCCCACAGCCATGTCCATCCAGAACCTCTGCAGAGCTGTTGAATCCCAAACGAATAGTTACAAACATTCGGCACATACATGGGGTAAATGTATACGTACTGTATACTCTTCCTTGGTTTTATCCTGGTTCCTGCAACAGTGGATGATGATGGGTACTAAAGGCCTTCCTAACGTTGTTTTAGTGATTTGCTTGTTATTGCTTGTTGATCGACTGTTAGCAGGACACCCCCAAGCTATTCCGTCCATGGATGGTCTGGGAATGCTCACCGCTCACCCCTCTTCTCCTCAGGCCGGCCGATTCAGCACCTCGCCGCTCGAGTTTGGCCAAGCGCTCGGCATCAAGCACGGCCAGCCGCATGCAGCTCCTTGCCCCATGAGCCCATGAGAGGAACCCACTCACAGCCTGTTGAGGCTACCAGCTCCTTCCGGATGAGTCGGAGAATTCCTGATATAGTTACTCCCTAGGGCTCCAACCATATCCTCAGAAGGTGGGTAGACTCGACCTCCCAAAACCCACCCCAACCACCGAACCTCAGCAGGTGGGCCAGGAGCCCACCAAAGATTTATACCATGATTATACCCTAGGGCTTTAGGGATCTGGTCGTACCTTCTCAGGTTAGGTGATGGGAGACACTGCTATGTAACGTCTAGAGGGTCCAGTCGTACCTTCTCCTTCGGCCTAAGGAGGAGCCCGACGAATTTTATCAGCACCATTTCTTTGAAGGCGAACCGTTCATGGTCACCGGACGTCAAACCATTCGGAACCTGAGCTATGGCAGCCATAGTTCCACGATGTTCCACGGTCTGACGGATTTTGGACCATTTGATCTGATCCATCTACCATTTTAGTCTCCTGTGAAAATCTGAAACTAGATCCCCGTGACTCAAGTTCCAGTTGGTGGGTGAACAACTGGTGGCAAGCTCGGGCTTTGCCTGAAGCCCTCAACTGGGGCTTTGCACCAAAAGTTGGGCGGTATTGCAAGGATTCTTACACATCACTGGGTGATCAAATGGTGATAGCTTCACATGGAAGTTGCACCTTACAAAGGTCCGTGTCCATGTCCAACCTGTTGCCAATGTCAACGGAAGCTTTCCCTAAACACTCCAGTGATATCCATTGATGGCATGTTTACCTTCATTGATGTGGTTTGAGAGGTCAATGTCAATGTACTTCCAGTCCCACGGAGTTATTCCAGTCCCACGGAGTTATTCCAGTCCCCCGGAGTTGTTGATGGCAAATAGTTCCCCACCGGCCCTGCAAATTTTGGGGAACCGGTCTTGCAACCTTTGGTGACAGAACTTACTAGCAAGTGGTGAACAGGGACTCCGGTGGTTCCCGGGTGACAGCCGTCGCCCCCTCCTAGCCAACAGCTAGCTAAAATCGTCTTGGCTGGCTAGGCCGGCTTGGCTGGCTGATCACGAGCTTTTGCACGCGGGAACGCCTCCAATATCCTCCAACTGAAACCAGGATTTGTACTGCGAAGTGCTATGAGAGCTTGCATCAAACCGTCGGAAGATTCATTGATCACTCGGGGTGTGCTGTGAACCACTGGTCACCGAATTGAATAGGGCTTTGCTATCACAGGATTTCAAGGCGCAAGCGATGTATCGAATACTGAATGGACTGAATACTCACCTGAATCTTCCAACTAGCCTGCCTCCTTGGGCTGGGTTTTTTCTCAAAAAAAACGCGACCCGACCGCGACCCCAAGTGACACCCACTTGGACGAACGACCGCCGACCCGGGCCCGTTTTCATCCACTTTCTTGCTCGCCGTGGGGCAAGAAGGCAGGATCCACGTCCCGAGCGAGCGGCACGATGAGATTCAGCGCCGCGTTCAGCGTGCAGCCATACCTCATCCACCGAGCGTCGACCAGTGTAGAATGCCCCAGTGTTTGGGTCCGTTCGAAAGGAGCGAGCCCCGTAGGCCCCACTCGCGCTTTCAGCTGCTGCGTGTTGCTCTTGGAAACTGGTTACTTATTGGTTGCTTGATATCTTGAGCGATTTGAGGGAGGAAAGTGCGGATACCATTTTTATCCATGTTTAAACCTCGCACTGTTCATTCTTACCGACCACTGAGAAATGTGTTGCCACTTCACCATGATCATTGATGCACTTGATTCTGGAGATTCTTGAACAGCCGGCTGGCCAAAGCTCTTGTGCACACCTCTGCTCCCCTATGAAAAACACTTGAGGTTTCAGACTGGTCAAGCAACCAAGCATCCTCGTGGATCAAAACCCTGCATATTCTGGAGAACAACCACCATCTGCCGACGACGTATCGGGTAATTCTCAAACAGGCCACTTCTGCATCATGGGCAGTGCTCCTTTGGCCCAGGAAGGCAGCGGAAGCTTCAACTGCGCGCGATGCTTCGCCTGGGGGTCAGGCCGCAGCTATAGCGATGCAAGACATCGTTGGCCGGGCCAAAAGCGAAACGGTCTTGGCCCAAGAGCCTCGTTGAGGGTTCCAGAGTCCCAGATTTGGGACCCTGTTTGAAAGCTGTGACATCGCAACACCCAAACACTCCGTCTGGCAGCCAGGTACCTGGCGATACCTGCATTGACTATGGCATACATGGAGGGTTTGGGAATAAAAAGTGGTAGCTTGCGGCAACTTGCGGTAAATTGTGCCATTCTCAAGCAAGCTCATACATATCACCGTAACGGGTGCCAAGAACAAAGCCATTCACTGCAAAGTATGGCAAACTGGGCCCGTGTCGCTTTGACCAAAACGTGTCGCTTTGACCAAGAAGTAACCGCTGTACAGGAACTTGTCTTAACTTAGCTTATCTTATATTATCAATCATCTAAGGACCAGAATGAACCCTACTTGTGGTGCCAGGGCACCAGCCACTGACAACATGGCCACTGACAACATGGCCCAAGAACACCCAGGGTCTCGCCCCTGGTCCATGCTTCCTTTCTGGCCCTGAATCTCCTCCTCAGATCAAAACTGCATCCTGACCCTAAACTCAACAATTGTCTCCTAGGAAGCACTGCCACCTTCCAAGCTTTGGTGTTTGCGGGAGGTGAACTGCATGTGCTTCAGTTCCATTCGCTTCAGTCCAACAAACCAATCCACGTGAGCCCAAGGTGTTGAGCCGCGAGCCACGGCAAGCCACGGCGTCCACCCCTTTAAGTAAGCCGGCAAGCAAACTCCGACACCACAAAGTACAAATACTATGTATAATGTGATGTGAACATGTCTGTATGGGAGACGTCACCTCCATTTCTGAGTACATCAACACCATCAAGTCGACCTCTTTGGGGGACAACTGTGGCTGCCACCTTCGTGGGTCAACCAAAAGACAGCTGGCACGGTGGCCTCAGACCCCCGAAGACCCATGGTCTGCGGCAAAGGGGCCGTGAGCCACACGCCGCGAAAGCCTCGCTTCCGCCGAGCAGTCCAGTGCGGTACTTTGATGTGCCGCGTGTTCGCCCCAAAAAGTCGGTTTTGGTTGGTTCTTGGCAGAAAATCCCAGAGGGCCTGGTTGGAAGCATGGACGTCTGAAAGGGCGTGGTCTCCCATATCGGTGGCGGTCACAGCGCGCGTGCTTCGTTTGTCTCACGGATATACCACCCCCACCGATGTGCGAGGCCACCTCGCACCTGCCACGATGGTCTCGGTGGTCACCGTTTTTGGTCCGAATCCATGGAATCACTCTGAGCGGTGGAGATCCGTGGGGATCCATGGAAATCCATGGGGAATCCGTGGGAAGCCATTGCATGGTCAACCAAGAGCAAGCTCATAGCCCGTTTGGGCTCGTGGCCGACCTCCGGAACCTCCTGAGGTTCGGTGGTTGGGGTAGGTTTTGGGGGTCTAACCACCGAACCTGAGGAGATGGGCCAGAATCTCAGAAGCCCTAGGGAATAGCAAGCTCATAGAAAGATACACTCCCTGGAATCTGCGTGACTGAAGTTTCGGTGGAAACCACCTGAGTTGGATTTCATAGTCATCCTTACAGGTTTATGCCATCGACTTCCATGATTCCAGGGAGAGTGTCTGCTCCTTTAGTTTCATGGATCATCTTTAGTTCATGGACTCCCCAAACCTAACCTGAGAAGGTACGACCAGATCCCTAGGGCTACATCTGCCGTCCCTGGCCGCTGGCCGCCCAGCGGCACAGGGCGGAGGCGTCCGTCAAGCGAAGGTCCAGAAACAACAACTCCTCAGAGGCGTTCATGTCCTGAGAGGCGTGCCAAGAGTGTTTGAGAGACCGTAAATAGGACCCTACTGGGGTAACTATGGGAGATAGCCATGGATAGCTATACCCCATAGGACCCGCAACCTGGGGTTCCCAACTGGGATAGTAGCCCAGGGTTCTTCAACCTCTCTTGGTAAAGTTGGCACTCCGACTGCTCCATAGAACGGGTGTGGTGTGACGAGTTGTGACAAAACAGAGTTGCTGATGGCCCACCCTCCATCTACACAACATAGAAACATAGCAAACTGGACGGGGCGGGTGTCAACCATGTCAAATCCCAAACACTCCCATGTATGGCATATTATGGCATATTAACATACATTGGGGTGGTTGATTTCAGGGATCAATCGGGCGGCATCTATTCCAATCCCATGGAGTGTCTTTTTTTTTCACGCGATATAGATCTCAAGAACAATATAGATCACACTGCCCGCCCAGCGCCACGCTTTTGCCGTCACCGCAAGCCGTCACGAGTTGTTTGGCAGCATCCAGGTGCCCGGCGTTCGATGGCAAAGAACTCCAAGAACTTTGGAATCCCTAGTAGCAAAGGGCATCGCTGCTAGGAGCAAGGATGCTACTACGGGCTCCTGGCCGTACTACTAGGAGCAACAAGCTACTAGGAGCAAAGGGCATAGTAGGGGCTCGAAGTGGAAAACTGTGGGGGTCCAATTGATTGACGAGTTGAGTTCAAGGTCGGAAAGCAAATGCTTCCAAAGACGAAGACCCTAGAGGACCATGTTTATATGTCAAATGTCCATAGATGTCCTGTTTTCTTTGTCAGGTGGTGTTGGAGGTAAAGCATGGTCTCCAAGAGTCTAACGATACGCTTTCAAAGGTGAGGCCATTGGATCGGGATTGGTTCAATTGGAAAAGTTGGCCCGTTCATTGGCGGGTTCAATAACGCTGCTTCACCTTGGTGAGAACCAGTAGATATCATATGATATCATAAACTCAGTATATCCACAGTTCTGGTCGAGGCAGTCGTAGAAGTCACTATGCCACTATGCACCTTCAAAGTCCATGGCTACTAGAAAACCCTACATATATAAATACCTACTAAGCAGTACTTGGCGAGCTTTTTGCTCAGGATGGAGTTCCTTAAGGAAAACATGATCTCCATGGTGGCCTCGGTCCTCACATGGCCTTGGTGATGGTCACCTCACCTCCTTCAGGCTCCACCCCTCACCCCACCTGCCAGATGTGAAACCAATCAGCTTGTTGTGAAAACCATTGCTTCATTCAATTATATCGATATATTATTATATATTATATATATATATTGTTTCTGAAAATTAAACATATCTATTTCCATTCTTATATATTGTTTCTGAAAATTACACTTATCTATTTCCACTCTTATATATGGTTTCTGAAAATTAAACACATCTATTTAAGTTCCATTCTTCTAGGCAATCATTAACAAAAATCCAATTTGATCCAAACACATGGAGTCTGCAAAGTCCATCGACGGCGGTCACTCCCAAACACTCCATGGCACTGGCCTGGCCATGAAATAACTTGACCACTGAAGCCACAGCAATGCCATGCAGGCATGTGTATAGTACACATATATATATATAGTTATTTATTGTAGTTATGTAGCTTCGGAGTGTCCCACCTTCTAAGGAGATACTTGGATCCCTAGGGATAGATATGTCGCCATACATGGAGTGTCTGGACTGATGGAACTGTTCCACTGGCCGTGGATCTAGCAGTTCCACTCAGTTCCCAAACTGAAATCGCGCCCGATTTCTCGGGCGGGAGTCCGCCATGGGCTCGGCGCCAGGCAGGCTTTTTCAGACCAAATCTTGTGTCTGATCTACCCAAAACGACTGTACATCTGATCTGATCTCAACTGAGATGCTGCTACTCCCCCTATGTCATCAGCCTGTCGCGGTGGGCAATCAACACCTCAAAAGGCAGCAAAAGGCGCAGGTGACGCACCAAGGCATAAGGTTGCAGCCCATGTTCAGACTTCCGCTGGAATCGTGACCAACTCCCAACATGATTTCTACACCCTCTCAACTAGCTCGAGAGGCTAAGTGACCTTATTGTAGGACCAGGAACCTGGGGCGTACCTATGCAATGGTCTATCCATGTCTAGAGCCGAAAGGGTTCTTCAACGTTCGAACATCAACATCAGGGCGCCCCCAGCCCTACCCCCAACCGCCCGTTCGGCCACTCGTCTCCCTACTCGGTCGTCCGTCCCGGTTGTCCGTCCCGGTCGGTTCACCTTGAAGACCAGTTCGCGAAAGCCGACGGAGGATTGATAGCCTCGGCCGGGGCAAGCATGCACGTCGCCGTGGCTTTTTTTCCACGAAGCTGCCAAGAGAGGTTAAGTGACCTTATAGGACCCTACTGGGGTACCTATGGGATAGTCTATAGGGTCATTCAACCTCTGTTGCTGGTTCTGATCTCCGTGTCTTCGAGGAATTGCCAATGTCCGACTTTGAGATGAACCATTTGGCGACCCAAACTGCGTGTATCTGCTGTGCTCGATTTCGAGAGACCATCTCATTTCTTCCGGGTGGGAACCAACGCAGGGAACGAACCCAGAAGCCGCCTGAGGTCGTGCCTTTGATTGCTGCTTCGGAGCCCAAGTCTCTCAAGGGCTCGCTGGTGGACAAGGTGTCGGGCCAAAGATTGGCGAAGGTGTTCATGTTCCTCGGCTGCAGGGAGTCGGTGGGGAGGCACCCCAGCTCCGGCCAAGCACTCCGGGTTCCGCACGGGGTGCCGGTTCCTGCTCCGCAAAACGGCCGGATGGGCCTCTGAAACACTTCATCTCATCCAAAAAACAGGGGTTCGATTGGAGTTGGGTGCTGTAAATGGAGGGCCTACCAGTGCCCATACTCACTCAGGCACTCAACATCACCACGTGGAACTGGCGTGTGCAAGCTCATTGTTAGTTGAACTGATGCATACGACTTGGACTACGGGCTATTGAAAGAAAGAATTGACTGGAGGGGGGTAGGGCCTAGGAGATCAAACAGAAAAATCATTTGTTGTCCTATGTTTTCTGGGTTCTTGGTCAGAAAAAACAGCTAGGGAGACCTCCCAAGTTTAACCTCCAGGAAAAGAAACAAGCATAGAGCAGCACTTGCAAAACCAAGGAATTTATTGGTTTGGGGGGGTCTCCTTGTCCAAATGACCATTTAGGCGCGTCTTTGCGGCCCATGTTATCAATTCGCGCTGTCTAACCCAACACTTCAGGTCAATTGGCCGCTTTTTCCACGCGGCGACGCCGTGCGTTTCTTGTAAAAATAGACGCTCACGGAACTTCCAGCGTTGCAGAACCCCCCCTGCAGGAACCCCAGGGGAGAGAGAAGAAGTCCGTCCACATCCGTCCAGGCCTGATGACCAGTACAGCTGCTTCAGCCCTCTCTCCCTGAAAGGGACCTGGTTCGTCCCAATGGTCGTCATCCATACGATTGGCCAAGGTTCTGGTCGATCTGAATGTTATACCTTGGAAAGAGAGAGGATGACCGGGTCTCTCATTCACTTGACAGGTGTGGTTTTTCCAAATCTCACATCATAACGGCCATATCATACCATGTCGTAGTAGTCTGGATTATATCGTACGAATATCAAACAAAGAATTACGAAATACCTGCAACCTCAAATGAACAAAAAATAATTGTGCATTCAGAAATTCCTGTGCACTACACGTCTTTCAGGAAAAAACACAAAAATCATTTGAAATGCACATTTTCTGATTGTAGCCCTTTGGGCTGTATTGGGTAGCATTTTTCCCACTTCCGAAGCCTGTCATTCGGTGACAAATGAGCACATGCAGCTTTGTCAGAAGTATTGAGATACCTTTGTGGGTCGAAGGGTGTGCCCATCAAAGGAATGGCGTCCGCTGCTCCCTCAAGAGATTTGGAATGATTTGGAGCTTCTCAAACCGGCAGGGCTCCATTTTGTTGAAGAAAAGTCCCTCGTGACAAATTTGTTCTACCCGGAAATTCCCATCAAATACACGTCTTTCCCACCCAACACACATCTTTCCCTGTCCACTACCCTACAGTTATGAAGCTTATGAATCTGTGGTGGGACATGTTAGCAGGATTTGTCAGAGAGTGAGTTCAAGAAACGCAAGCCACAGGATGCTAGACCGGATCCGTATCAAAATGAAATGAGAGATTCGGAAGTTGAGCTGGAGGCGCAGGCTCCGGCGCAAGTGACAAGCAGGGCCTTCTTGTGTGTTTCAAGACACGACCATGCTCACAGATATGCACAATTTTGTGTTCAAGTGCACAGATTTCCGTAGAGTACACGGAAATCTCCTCCAAAATCAAGTGCACAAAAATGTTTGCCCAATGAAGATGCAGGTATACAGTATAATTGTTAATATCTAAAATATTATGACCTCCCAGGGATGAGTCTCATCCAATAAAAAGGAACTGACCTCGAAGGAACTCACCACCTGAGCTATGTGTGCTTGGGATTTTGCTCGAACCACCGACGGACGCCGTATACCTGCATCACGACCCGGGCGGGCCGTGTGCTGTGCTGCCCAGTGGCTCGAAGCTCGGAACATGAAACCGGATCTCTTTAAAGAGCTCCTGCGAAGTGGGAGAGCTCCAAGCGGATGAAGCGGAGTTGGTTGAAATGCTGCAAGTACATCCCGAGTTGAGGCTGGGGTGCCAAAGGTTTAGACCTGGTGAGGAGCAACTTGGAGCCCAACAAAAAGCTGAACGTTCAATACCAACGCAATCAGTTGTGGTTTCCTACTCATGCTGTTCCTTTCAGATGATGTGGGCAGGGCTCCCAAAAAATAGCCGATGCTCGCCCGCGCAATCGCGACGGCCCAAACGACGCTCCCCTAGCTCCCCTCGCCTCGGCGGTGAAGGAGACCCCTGGCAGGGCGTAGCCCCGCTCCGGCTCCCGCAACTGGGATTCGTCGGCATCTTGCAGTGCCAAAAGACCTGTAGCTGGGAGAAGGGAGTCATGGTGGGAGAAAAGAGTGGATTTGCAAAATAGAT